TGACAAAAATTCATTTTCAGTGAGTTAGTGCTCGCGTGTAGTTGCAGCACAAACTCTGGAAACTTGCACACAACCAGCACTAACTCCAAATTTTCCAAAACTGGTCTCAGTACATCAAGATTCGTGGCCTGAGATAAAGTCGCCATACAAAATGGCCCTTTTTTCCAAATTTCTGACTTTGGCGAGTTAGTGCTCGCGCCCAGTTGCGGCACAAACTCTACAAATTTGGCTCGAACCAGCACTAACTCCCCAGATTCCGAATCCGGAATTATTTTTTCATTTTTCGAACTGGGGGGGGCCAGCCACATGTACCTTGCTCAACCTGGGTGGGAGAAATAATTTTTTCAAGTTTAGGGGTGAGGGGTTGAAAAACATTTTCGGCTGGGGAAGTTCAAATCGAAAACTAATAATACCAATATTTAGTGCCTAATTAGTGCCCGCAGAAAAACTATATCTCGGGGATTTTTTCACCCCCTGAGGAGGTGAATTTAGGGGATGATTTTTTAGGGGTGGAAAAATTCATCCCCAATAGTACCAATAATTAGTGCCCAATTGGTGCCCACGAATAATACCTATATCACCTACATTTACTTGAATTTTTTTGAAGTTATAAGCATTTGTTTTATTTGAGGTCAAAAATGTCAACTTTGTCAAAATAAGGTCAAAACACCTTAAAAATGAATCTAATATTTAGTGCCTAATTAGTGCCGCTCATTGCAACTCTCAGAATGTTCATATGTACACTTTCGATTAAATTATAGCCTTTCATTTTGGATATTTAGGTTAGGCTTTTTCGAACCGTTCACATTTCGGCTTCCTACTCATTTCCATGTGTTGGTTAGGTTATTTTGTGTTAAAATGTTTATAGACCAAATTCTTATTCCAATCAAGAAAGACCAAGACATACTATTATCACACACTAAATCTATTGACTAGATCGAGAGGAGAGTATGTGAAAAAATTCTAATATATTTTGAAAGAGGAGAGTATGTGAAAAAATTCTAATATATTTTGAAAGAGGAGAGTATGTTTTCTGATGATTCTGTTGGCGTTAAAGTAGAGTATGTTGTAGTACCGTCTAGCCTCTGCGGTCTTCACGGTTTTCGCGCAACTGATAGGAGATAACAACATGGTGTCTTCGGCAAAGTTGTAGTACTCGAGGTCTTCTATAACATTGCTGAAGACATCTATCTCTTATCTCTTATCGGTTGCGCGCAAATCGCGCACATAAAAAAGCAAATTTTATACAGAACTTTTTTTTCTTATCATTTTTCGCGCTTTTCGCGGAACTGATAAGAGATAACTGACTTCAGCAATGTTATAGAAGACCTCGAGTGCTACAACTTTGCCGAAGACACCAAGTTGTTATCTCTTATCAGTTCCGCGGAAACCATGGAAAACCGCCAAAAATGAACATACTCGCCTTTAACCATTTTTGGGTCGAAAGAAACTTACTCTTCCCTTTCATAACAAAGTCAGATGAACTTACTCTCCTCTCGATCTAGTCAATAGAAATTGTATGTACAAACACAAAAAGATCAGGTTTTTCACGATTCTTGGAGTCGTTTTCCTGCAAACAAATTATTCAGCCAGTTTTTGGCGGTGTTATTATTATTATTATTATTCTGCACCATACAGCGTTTCTTCGCCAGAGGTGGTTTATTTGATATAAATATTATTTTGTATATTTACATTATATTACATTAATTAAGTTGCTATATTTGCATAAAATTTATCACTCTGGTGTAAATAAATAAATAAATATGAGATATCCGATTTCAGCAAAGTTGTAGAGCAGCTTGAGTACTACAATTTTCCACATGCGTTATTCCGTTATCTCTTATCAAATACGCGAAGTGATTCTTAGTACTTTTATTTGCAATTTAAAGTCGCCTCGGGCACTGTATGCCCCAAAGACGAACAAAAGGTTGACCACACTTGATTTAATTTCTAAAAATTATTAATTTTTTGGTGTTGGTAATTTTTGTAGATGATCTATCTTCTAATTTAACATCTGGCGCCACAAACAATTTGGCAAATGCGGGCAGTGGCCTATCAAGTCTTGGTGTGGTTACTAATATGAATATAATTGATGATCCGATATCGGATGCTTTTAAAATAGTAGATGCTATTCGGCCGCCGCCGCCGCCGCCGCCACATTCAAACCTTCATATGGCCGGTAAATGATGACTTACAAAAAAATAATTGCTTCTTACATCTTCTTGTTACTAACATTTTAAATTAACATGCTCACATTATTGGACAACGTCTCTAGGTCGAAAATAGAACTGTAATGAACCTTTTGAATTTTGAAACAATTTCGATTTTTCAGAAAATATTAACTCATCTTTTTGTTTTATTCTAGATGAAAGTCGTTTGTAACATTTTTGAACGAATTGAATCAACAGAAAATCAATCTTTAGATGTTCCGAAGACCACAACCAGAAAATGATTGAACCGAAAAGCTGGCTGGTACTACTTGTGGAGAAACGTTTTTAAATTCAAGATATACTTTTTCCTCGAAAATATACGAAATATACGAAATAAGAAATTCAAAAAGTTAGTATTGATCTAGTATTGGATCTAAGACATTTAAATAAAATGAGACGGAATGGAAAGAAGTAATAATCACCAATTTCACATACAAATATCATTATTATTAGCTAATTTATAATAAATATCAAAGTTGGAGGATTTTACATTCGTACAGATCTATTTACCTAGTATCTTAATTCGAATTGTATACATAAAAGTGTAACACAGAAATACGTTTTATTTTGACGAGTTTTGGATTAAATTATTTGCTTATACCTAACCATTATTTGAAAAGTAATCAATAAATATCATTATTATGTACAAATATTGATCAAGAAACTGAAACCAATTTCATTGTTCATATACAATATAATAATAATACAATTGAAAATTTATGAAATCTTTTTATTATTTGAAGAATTTGGACTCGACTACTTTGTGGCTTATAGCTGACTTGTTGTAAAATTTTCTTTCCTACAGAGAAAACGATCTTAACCCTCTAGTGCATACAGCCGCCTTTAGACGGGCAACATTCGAATTATGATTATTTTTTTAATTATCTAAAGCGAAAAATCAACCAAGTACCAGTACTCCACGCCATGCGAAAAATTATTGCACTAGATGGTTAAGTAGTTTAATTCGAATGGACTATAAATGAGGAAAAACATTGAAATCCACATTCAAATATGTTAATTCCTGAAAGTGTATGAAGAAATCCAAAGATAAAGGCATTAAACTTACAGTTGAAGGCACTATATCCAAGAAACACGATCGTGCATGATTACAATCAAGTTCGATTGGAGGTTTTGCTATAACTTTTGGATGGATGGATGAATTATTTGGGCGGCTTTATATGAAGCCGTGCGTAGGTCTATGACCTTTTGCACTATCGGACCCATTTCTTTTTCCAGTTTTTCGAGTTGACTCTATTTTCTGGGTGCAGGTGTCTCCTAGGACCCACCCCAATCGACTGGAGTAGCTAGAAGGCCACTGCTCCAGGTGGAGTTGGTGTCCGAAGCCATTCTCAACCGCAACCTCCAATAGAGCCCATCCTTTGTTTTGGTTTTTTCAAATGGAGGAATGTTTTCAATTTCTGATATACCGATATATTCATCAGTAACCGAACACAGACTAAAAATTTTGTCAATGGGTGTCGAAAAAAAAATGAAGACCTAAAAAAAAGGTCCTCACTTTTGAAAATCGATTCTATCTAGTGTAAAACAGTCAAAATCCCACAATGGGAGTCTGAAATTCTGCCAATGGGTGTCGAAAAAAAGTGAAGACCTAAAAAAAAGGTCCTCACTTTTGAAAATCGATTCTATCTAGTGTAAAACAGTCAAAATCGCTCGAAGGGGGTCTCCATTTTCAAATCCTAGATGGGGGGAAACCCCTCCCCCCTTGCACACGTCTGACCGAACATTGTTTATTGCGGTAGGTGTATTAGATATTATTTATCATATACACCAACCTAGCGAGTAAACACCCCATTTTTACGTGTACTCGAACCAACTCATCTTCTGTATTGAGTACACGGGTATCCCACGGCTTAAAGTGCCCCCCGGAGCACTCCACGGGCCTTAACATGGGCCGTAGTCTATCAATTCACAATGCCATTGGCAGAACCAATGATATTTTGAAGAGAAAAGATTTTCGGCACACATGCGATTCGAACCCGTGTCCCCACGCTTACAACGCTAGCACGCTAACCAATACGCTATAGCTGGGTTATAGATTTTGGATAAATGAATGTAATTAAAAAAAAATACAGTCATGGATAAAATTTAGAGCGCCGTTGGCAAAAAATGTTTTCAACGCTTATTTAAACCGGTAAGAATTATCTTGACCCTCCAACTTTTCATAAAATAAAATCGCAACTTAAAGTGGTTTTAAAATAGTAGAGAAACGTAGAACGCGTTTGAAATAAAAATTCAACATGTTCAGAGTGAAAATAAAAGAGAAACATAGCAGGTAAAAGTCACTGCCCCCCCCCCCCCCCCCCCGGTCGGAAAAATGAAAAACCAATTCCAGATTCGGACTCGGGGGAGTTTGTACTCACCGTATGCAAATTTCCAGAGTTCGTACTCCAACTGGGCCCGAGTACAAACTCGGCAATGTTGAAAATTTGGAAAAAACGGCCATTTTGTATGGCGACTTTATCTCAGCGGCCGAATGTTGATGTTCTGGGGTCATTCCATATGATTTTGGGTTAGTAATGACCGTGTGCAAAGTTTCAGAGTTTGAACTCTCACCCAGTCCGAGTACAAACTCGTCAAAGTTGACATTTTGTCAAATTTTGCCAATTTGTATGGCGACTTCATCTCAGAGGCCGAATGTTGATGTTTTCGGGACATTTTCATATGATTTGGAGTTTGTACTGGCCGTGTGCAAAGCCGCAAAGTTTGTACTCTCACCCAGTCCGAGTACAAACTCGTCAAAGTTGACATTTTGTCGAATTTTGACAATTCGTATGGCGACTTCATCTCACAGGCCGAATGTTAATGTTCTCGGGACATTTTCATATGATTTGGAGTTTGTACTGGCCGTGTGCAAAGCCGCAGAGTTTGTGCTCTCACCAGGCCCAAGAACAAACTCCTCAAAGTTTGAAATTTGGTCAAATTTCGGAAATAAAAAAACGACGAAAAAATTTAATGTCAGAGGCTAGATTCTGATGTTCTGAAGTCATTTTCAAAGCTGCAGAGTTTTTACTCAGTCCGAGTATAAACTCGTCAAAGTTGACATTTTGTCAAATTTCGGGCATTTGTATGGCGACTTCATCTCAGAAGCCGAATGTTGATGTTCTGGGACATTTTCATATGATTTGGAGTTTGTACTGGCCGTGTGCAAAGTTCCAGAGTTTGCACTTGCACTAGGCCCGAGGGCAAACTCGTCAAAGTTTAAAATTTGTCAAAAGCGGTACTATTGTATTTTGTATGGGAAGTACTCAAAATAACCACTTTTTAGGAGTTTGGTCAAGGCAAACTGCTATTATTTTTCGAAAATAATTATAGTCATTGAACAACTGAATACCCGATTCTCCATAGATTTTGTTTAAAAGCGACATTTCTTCATAAAACAAGCAAATGGCTGAAGAAAATTCACTTATGATGGACTGATGTGATTCTAATCCACATAATTTTTGACGAGGAATCAATTTAGCTTTCACTCGACCCATGATTCAACGATTCACGGTTTGACAGGTATGATTCGATTCAAGTAAAAAAGTCTGGCAGGTTGAACGATCTGAGTTTCAGAATCAATCTCTTGTGGTTAACCGTTAACTCTGTCAAACGATTTGCTGAACCGAACTGAAGTCTGTGTAAAAAAATTTCCATTTGCGCACCAGAGCTTATGCCTCTCTGTGCATAGTGGATAGGATCGGTGAGATTAGATGCAGTAGATCTGGACTTCATGAGGCTGTGTTGCTTTTTGGTGATTTTGTCCTGTACCAGTGACAGAAGTTTGACGTTCACTAAATGCTCAAAGAACTTCGCCACAGTTTGGAGCTTAGCTATGCAACGGTAGTTTTCAATCTTCTGGCCCCCTTTTCGAAATGGCCAGTTGACAATAATTCATTGAAAATCTCGGTGAGTGGAGCCGCCAAATGACTCGCACAGTTTTTCAGTATCAGCGGGTGCATACCATCGGGACCCGTTCTTTTCCTGGTGTTCACGGCTTGTAGCTCTTCAAGCACAAAATTGATGTCGAGCTGGAAATCCTCAGATTGCTGTGACTCATCGGTAGACGATCGCTGAGCGTCTTGAGTCCTTGGGTCATCATAGTTGCTACTGAAGAAATTAGCAAACAGGTTGTTTCGGGTTCCGTACGGATACGGAACTTCACGGAACCAAATAAATTCGGTGTCCGTACGGAACCCACACAGAACCTGACGGAACCTGACGGATCCTGACGGAACCTGACGGAACCTGACGGAACCTGACGGAACTCGACGGAACTTGACGGAACTTGACGGAACTTGACGGAACTTGACGGAACTTGACGGAACTTGACGGAACTTGACGGAACTTGACGGAACTCGACGGAACTTGACGGAACTTGACGGAAGTCAACGGAACTCGACGGAACTTGACGGAACTCGACGTAAGTCGACTTAACCTAACGGGTATTTACGTAATAACTCACGATAGAGAAAGTACGTTACAAGTTACGTAGAGAAAGTACGTTAGTCATCATATGGCAACACCTGTCAAATTAGACGTCTACTTTTTTTTCTCTCCGTCTATTTTCAACAAATTTGTTTGTTTTTAAATTGTTTTCCGTCTTAATTATACGATATTTTACATCAAATAAAAGTTTAAGTCCTGTTTTACCTCAACAATATAAAGTTTTCGTTTGAAATTTATTTTTGTGTACAGTTTCAGTGTATATGGGTCAATTCGAAAGTTTCCGCCGCTGACATTTAAATGTCGCCACTTGTAACTGAGCGTAGCTTGACAAGTGAATCCAATTGCATGTACATTTTCAATTTATTTTGCAATAAATGTATTTTTAGACAAAAAAAAACGGCGGAAACTTTCGAATTGACCCAATAATTTCTTCAAGTTTTTCTTCGTTCTGTTTACTTGTTATTGTTGTTGCCTACTGACTGACTGTGAGGTTAAAAGCCAAATCGCTGAGCTGTTGACAATGCTGGAGCCAATATGGAACAAGTTAAACCAGCTCAAACATCTTTATTCTGACGAAATTAGCTCCGTGAGTTCGGACAAAGCCGATAAATCGGCAAACTCACGTACTGAGCCAATGGATGAAACTCCGGCACCAACCCGAATTCAGCAGCAAATATCGGACAACGTGTCAAACTCGGGTTTACCGCTTGTAGACTTGCAAAATGTAAACATTTCACGGCGGAATGAAAGCAAGCGGCCCTGACTTGACTCGGAAGAACTGAACTCTTCAGATGAAGAGCAAAGTGACACTTCACCGCTGTGCAAATTGGTTTTTAGTCGTGATGCCAGTGGGAACAGTGGACAAAACGGTGCAAATTCAAAGCCCGTTGATACTATATTGATGCGCTCGGTTTATTTAACCGAATTTCTACCGACAACCGAGCCTGCCGACATTATTAATCACTTGAATAGCATTGAAACTGTCCGACCTTTGACAAGTGATTTCAAAATTACCAAGCTCGTGAAGAAAGACAACAAAATGGAGTTGTCATTCGTGTCATTCAAACTCGATGTTCCTCGCCAACACTTTGACAAGGTAATAGCGGCAGGTATTTGGCCCAAGAAAATCAAAGCCACCGAATTTCAGGTCAAGTCTGTGAAGTCATCTGCACCGGCAAACCTTCCCAAAACTCATGACAACCATCAAATTCGGTCGCAACTACAAAATTTATCAGCAAAGGCCGCTCAAACTAAGTCAAAAAACTCCAG